TAAGCAGGATTTCTTTTATGGAAAAATACAGAGACAGAATATCCACAGTAAAGTAATTTGGAAGCCAAATTACTATTCTGCAATAGCCATTGAGGTCTCCTGGCTAATGTAAGAATGCCCTATGCCAGGGGTGTCTAACCTTTTTGGGCTCCTGTGGCAAAAATTGCAAGTGCACCAGTGTGCACACGCTTGCGTGCCAGGAACCTAGAATGCAATGCGCCCTCCCTCCCCACTCCCCCTGTGCATGCACGCGCAATCACCCCTACCCTACCCTGTTACCTGCACTGCGCCTCACAGCTGATTTTTTGGCTAGTTTGTGGCCTTTTTTGGCCTCCCAGAGGCTTGAAAAAAGCCTCTGCAAGGCTTTTCAGGCCAGATTATAGGAAACGGGCCTATAATTTGTCCTGAAAAGCCTTGCAGAGGCTTTTTCCAAGCCTCTGGGAGGCCAAAAAAGGCCTCAAACCAACCAAAAAAATTAGCTGTAAGGTGCGCGCATCCGCAGTGAGGTAAGTTTGCCTGCAGCTCACGGGCCAGCACAAATGGCTCGCATGCCATAGGTTCGCCATCCCGGCCCTATGCGAATAATAATAGTAATAGTAATAAGCACAATGATACTTTGATACACACAGGGAGAAAGATGGTGTAGAGCTTACTCGAGAAGAGGCATTCAAATATCGGTTCAAAAAGGATGGTAAAAAACACTACCTCATCATCAATGAGTCCACCAAGGAAGATAATGGGCATTACAAAGTCAAAACCAATGGTGGGGAATCTGTTGCAGAATTGATTGTACAAGGTGAGAAATAAATAAGAACATGCTTTTTAAAATGTGCATGGAGATTGGTAATGGCCTTCTCTGTAACAGTAATAACTAGTAATAGAATAGTTAATTATGCATTGTATGTTAATCATGCATTATATGTTGATGTTGGATGTAGCACATATTCTGATAACAGCGCTGCCTTATATATCAAATTACACTAAATTCTCACACATTCCTAAATATCTCTATTTCACCTTTTCTGGAAAAGGTGGGGTTTTTTTCCTTTAACTTTTGTTTGTAAAAGCAGTATCTAGAGCAGGGGTTTCCAACCTGGGGTGCTCGCACCCCCTGGGGGTGCGAGATGATATTCCAGGGGGTGCGAGAAAGGTCCAGGTAAATAATAGGATATTGGCTATATGTTGGCATTGTTATTTATTATGCAATGGATTAACTTTGTTTTCATTTTAGAGTGAAGTATCGTTATTTAGTGGCCGTCACATACATAGCTGAAAAGATTCAATCCTACCATATATTTAACACGTTCAGTAGTTCCTAAAGTCTAAATTTGAGGGGGTGCGAGGTTCGAGTGAAATTTCTTTAGGGGTGCGGGCCGAAAAAAAGGTTGGGAACCACTGATCTAGAGTTTGGATGTTTCCTACCTCTGACCTGTTGCAATCATGTTGATTTGTTCCCCAATTCACAATCTCAGAAAAGAAGCTAGAGGTATACCAAAGCATTGCAGATCTGACTGTGAAGGCCCGAGACCAGGCTGTGTTCAAGTGTGAGGTGTCCGATGAGAATGTGAAGGGCATCTGGCTGAAAAATGGGAAAGAGGTCATCCCAAACAATCGGATTAAAATCTCTCATATTGGCAGGTATGTTATACATTTTGCAGTGATTGTAGAATATTGATTTTCTTGGGATTACTTACATGGTGTGAGAAAAGTGATTTAAAGTTCTCCATAAATTGCAAGCAGAAAAAAAGAGAAAAATATATGAAAGCTGAAAATCCTAAATGATCTTTTTAAGAAGATGCACAAGTAATTAATTAACAATTAAGTGACTTTGAAGTTTCTAATATTCATACTTTTTTTACTGATACTGTGAACATTTAAGCATGGTCTTTTGGATTTTCAGTACTGAAAATTAAAAATAGGAATACTAACATTAGATGTCGTGTTTTAAGATTGTTTTGTTTTTGCTTTATATAGTGTCTTAATTTTTATTTTTCTCTTATTTTTGCTGGTTCTCCACCACCCATCACCCCCATTATTGGTTATTCTGTGTTTGTATGGGTCTCTGTTTAATTTTTAAAAATTTATGTCAGCCCAAAAATTTGCTCTCGAGTTATAGAAATATTAGTCTGGCCATATTTCTGTATTATTTTTCTTTGAGATTTTATTTTATGATGAAAAGATATCCAAAAAAGAAATAACTGATAATATTGGATTACTAATTAACATTCCAGATATACATTCAAAAAGACTGAAATTAGAAGCAGTGGTCTAATATGGTATATAATGGAAATTTTTGAATAAGTAGTACTTTACTCATGCTAAAATTATTTAAAATGGAATTACCTTTTAATCCAGCAGCATTCAACCTTTTGGGCACCAGGGACCAGTTCCATAGAGAGAGGTTCTTCCATGAATTGGAAGGGGCGTGGTCTTGTGTGCTGCCTGCATCCCATGGATGGGGCTTCACTTGTTTGCGCAGCCCAGTTTCTGGCATGCTGCACACCGGGGCCAGTCCATGGACTGGGGTTTGGGGACCCCTGTTTTAATCCATCAAGGTGCTTCATGGAACACCCTTATTCTTCTCTTAATTTTAATTTGATATTGGAATTATTGGGCCACCTTACTCAATTGACCAATTTTAAATATCAGTGACTATGGTAGATATGAAAAGAAATCATTATGGCCTGATGATATATTTTGCCTCATTAATAGTTATGTATGTTCTATTAAAATGCTTTAATATTGTGAAATAGTTTGGCAATTTATTAAATTATTAAATTAATTTATTATTAGACAATTAAGACTCATGTGCTTCCCATACAAATTTGCAAAAGTTCAGGTTTAATTTGTAATAATATATATGGTTTAAAACATACATGGTTGATCTACACTGTGGGGAAAATTAGACTCAATCTACTAGACAAAAACTGGATATAATCTGTCTAATCCACACTGAACAAAGATTAGATTCGAGCAAAAATATTTGTTGCAGGATCCAATTTGGGTCTGTCACCAGGACCAACGGTTTTGTCTTCCAAGCTTTCAGACTCATGCTGAAGTTCAGGTCTCCTCATCTGACCACTCGCTTGTGTTTATCTGACCACTTGCTTGTGTTCTTGCAAGAACACACCTGACCACTCGCTTGTGTCCTTGCAAGTGAGTGGTCAGACCAGGAGACCCAAACTCATTGGTAGACTCACCCTGCAATGAACAAGGACACACATTCAACTTTTCAGCTACTAAGATTGTTGGAAGAGCAGGCACAAAAACAACCAGGGAAGTGATGAAAGTCTGGAAAATAGGCCCCTTGTCAGTCAACAGGAGTGCTGATTTACCACCAGCCTATCAAGTACTTAGAAGGTGAGGGATGGGCATCACAAGCAAATGACAGCTAATGACTTAAAAGCCAGCCATCAACATACCCTAATCAATATCTAAAAAGCCACTTACAACAGACAGTACAAATACCACGCACAGAACAGCACACACTCTGCTAGAGAAAAATTCCCTGAAGATGAACTCCAGCACGAGTCCGAAAGCTCAGAAGACAAAATTTCTAATCCTGCTGACCGACCCAGATTGGATCCTGCAACATTATCCTGGGACATGTATATTTGCCTTCCACCATGATCCATATTTGTTTTTCAGAATCCATAAGCTAACCATTGATGATGTTACCCCAGAAGATGAAGCTGATTATTCTTTTGTGCCTCAAGGATTTGCATACAATCTCTCAGCTCATCTGCGTTTTTTGGGTAAGTTTCATGGAATCTCTTTTCTAACACCAGGTAAGAATGTGTAGCAGGATTTATCTGCCTGACTGCCTGGTTTTTAAATGCACATTTCATAACTAAGCTGTGATTAGATCTCATTGCTGAATATAGCTTATTTTATTATATTACAGGTCCAACATCACCATTTGCAAAAAAGAAAAAGGCAAACAGAGTAGTAGAACATAATATCATATATTGTATTACTTTAGCGTGACTTAATTTAACTAAACCTGCAAAATTAATCCACAAACTATAATCTGTTTAGCTGGCCTTTTTCAGTGGACTAGTTTCAATTTGGGAGAGTTACAGAGGTGGTATTCAGCAGGTTCTGACCAGTTCTGGAGAACCAATAGTGGAAATTTTGAGTATTTCGTAGAACCAGCAAATACCACCTTTGACTGGCCCCACCCTCATTTATTCTCTTCCTCCTGAGTCCCAGCTGATTGGCTGGGTCTTCTTTTGTTACCCTGCACAGGAGAACGGAGCTGGAAAGCAGGTTAGTGGGGTGAGGAGGGAATGGGGATTTTGCGGTAACCTTCCCTCAGGACTGGGGAGGGAATGGAGATTTTACAGTATACTTCCCCTGCCATGCCCACCAAGTCACGCCCACAGAACTGGTAGTAAAGAAAAAATTTGAATCCCACCACTGGAGAGTTCTGTTAGAAGAAATGAAGCAGGGAACGAGAATGGCTTTTCTTTTTTTTTAGCATGTTGTTCCCCCTTCCCCACTCAAAATCACCTCCCAAATTTCTCTGGAAGACTGTTCTGGGGAGGATGTATAAAGATGAAAGGGAACAGGAGAAAGAGTGAATCAAGGAAAAATACTGCCATGTTCCTTTCTTGGGTGGGAAGTTTCCTACAGATCTCTTATGCCAAAAGGATGAAAGTTGTTAATAAGTTAGCAACAGTAGAAATCCAATTACTGGATAATGAGATATATTGGGTATTTTATAAATCTATGCTTGTATATTACAAGTACATGAGAAACAGACCTGAAGGTAAGATCAGAGAATAATGTCTGAAGATATGAAAAGCAAGCAGGAAATCAAAGTGATAAAGGAAATCTTGGAAAAAACCCTGCAGGCTGAATATGCTAACTATATTTTGTTACTGTTTTTGAAAAAAACAAAACAAATGTATGACCATGGTGGTCCAGAAAAATCAAGTAGTGGAACAGTTTCAGAAGAATAATGATAAAACTTATTTCATTGCAAATGTTTATCAGTGACTCAATGGATGAATTCAAAAGTTCAATGTCACTGTTTTGTGTGATTTTTTTTCTTTGCCCAGCTATGGATGTTTATATTTGTTTGAAGCTTGTTAAACCTTAGAAAATGTTAAATCGGAAACATTTCATCAAATACTATTTCATGCTGCCATAACAAAGCAGCCATGGTCTTCTGCAGCCACAATGCCATATTCAAAGGAAAACTAAGGGACAGGCTGAAACATTGGAACCTGGCAGAGGGGCACCAATTAAAAAGACAGTGGATTGGCAATGGTGAGCCATCCTTTAGGCTGCACATTGACAATTCACCATCTCCTCCCGATCACCAAGGCTTTGGAGCCAATGGCATAAAATCATTGGAGCCATTAATAGATCAAACTTAATGACAGTATTCAATCATGATAGCATTGATTTTATTACTCTGCTTCGCAATCCCCTTCTCTGTCCTCTCACACAGTCTCCTTGGCAACTCACATTCTTTCACTATAGATTTTTTTTAAAATAAATAAATAAATAAATGCTTGCTTCAAGCATATAGCTGCCAAATATATTTCATCATTTTTCCTCCCTTCCCCTCCCCCATTTCTTTTCTTGCAGAGATTAAGATTGACTTTGTGCCTAGGCAAGGTAAGAACAACTTTTTTTATTTATACTAATCTCTCTCTCTCCCTCTCCCTCCCCCCCCCCCTTTCTCTACACACACACACACACACACACACACACACACACACACCATTTCAGAAGAGTCCTTGTTTATGTCATGCAATGGTTTCTATGCTCTTGCTGCAGAACCTCCCAAAATTCATCTGGACTGCATGGGCCAAACTCCGGACACCATTATTGTGGTAGCTGGAAATAAGCTGAGACTCGATGTACCCATCTCAGGGGACCCCGTCCCTGAAGTGATTTGGCAGAAAATAAACAAGGTAATAACAGTCTAGAAATGCCAGGGCTTCATAGCTGGTCCTTTAAATCAGGGGTCCCCAACCCCCGGGCTGTGGACCAGTATCTGGCCGTGGACATGCCAGATACTGGGCCATGCAGGCAAGCAAAGCCCCATCCATAGGATGCAGGCAGCACATGAAACCATGCCCTCTTCACTCCACAGAAAAACTTCTCTCCACAGAAATGGTCCCTGCTGCTCAAAAGATTGGGGGCCGCTGCTTTAAATCATGGCTGCCTATCAGGCTTATTACAAATTTCTTACTTGATTAAAAAAATAAATGAATTCTTACCAATAAAGGAGAATATTTGTAAGTTAGGGGTCTTACCATGCCTACCCAATCACATGACCCACCCAGCCATGCCCAGTCCAACCAGTCATTAAGGCAGAGAACCAGTAGTTAAATTATTCAAATCCCACCACTGAATCAAGGGATTTCTTTCCCTCACCTTTTGCTTCTGGATAAATCCTCATGTACTTCAAATGTACTTCACTTGACACTCTGAACAGGTACAAGGGCTATTGTTAATTGCTGTCTGATAATTTATTCTGCCCCACTGTTTCTTGTAGCCTGAAATAATTGAGCATCAAGCTAGAAGGATTCATCCATTTTGAATCACTCCTATTGAAGTCATGTTATCGTTCAAAGAGCTGCTATAAGGATTCATCCATTTTGAATCACTCCTATTGAAGTCATATTATTGTTCAAAGAGCTGCTATAAGGATTGAGGAGTTTTGTTCTGCCCATGCCATTCTAACTGATCCCAAAACTGATCCCTGTCCTGTTTTATTAATATCACTTCGTCAGGTAAACAGCATCAAGCAGTTCAGAGTATAACTCTCCTTCCTGTGCATAGGTGTGACTTGTTTCGATTACAGAATGACTTCTCAGATGTTTGAATGAAATTAACCAGCCTAGAAAGGCACTTTCTATCTTTGTCTTAATTGTGTGCAAATCAAAGGATTGCCTTCTTTTGTGTGAAAGTAGAACAACCCTTTCATGTATCCTCTGGGTATTCAATTCCTGTTAGCCACAGCCATTGGAGACAGTGGGAAAGAACCGGGGAGCTGCACTTTGAATATCAAGAGAAATCAAGTTACCTATCTTTGTTTTAAGTCCTCATTCAGGGAACTGGTAATTCAGAAGCTAAAAAGTTGATGGCCAGCCTTCAATGTTTGTACCTGTATTGTGATGTGAGAACATCTTTGCAAAAGGCAGGGGCAAGATTGGCATCTATAATAGGCTGTAGTGTCCAAGAATGTGGTTAAAAAAACCAAGATGACAGCTGCAACATATCACTCCACCTCCCAACAATCTGCCATGATACAGTATAGGCAAGGGGTTCCCCAACCCCCAGTGCATGCCAGCAACCAGCTCAAACAAACAAGCAAAGCCCCATCTGCAGGATGCAGGCAGCAGGAAAAAATAAGCCCTCTCCAGTCTACGGAGAAACTTTTCTCCACTGAACTGGTTCCTAGCACCCAAAAGGTTGGGGACCGCTGGAATAGGCAACAAAGCAATAGTCAGTATAGGCTATTACAGCATTAGTCTTTTATAGACAGCTACTATTACCTGATGGTGATGCTTACTTAAGGCAGACCGAGTTTTTTTTAGATACTTTCTCTCATTGGCTCACAGTTTGTGAAGATGGTTAGGAAGTGTGTACTCTAAGTATATCTATTAGATGGTCTGAAAGAAATGAAACTTACAGTGGAGTATGTGATATAAATAATTGCACATAAGAAATTATAAAAATCCCATATATATATATTGGCCAATCTGCCAATAACCCAACCATCATTTTTTTAAATACAACAAAGGCACCATCTACAGATCAGCAAATCCTCAACGTTTTTTGTTTTAATTTACCTGCAGGTGGCTCATTGTTTATGTATTGGCTCATTGTATTTTGGTTAGAAATTTGAATGTCTGTTTATCCACAGATGGGCTTATCCGTGACCATTTATAGACTATATATTTGAGTATTTTTAAAGAGCTAAGAGGAAAAGCTATCATATATGTTTGCAGATAAACTCATTCATGGATAAGATGAACCCAATTTGGGAGCTGTATTTTGGCACCTAAAATTCTTGTCTTTTCTAAAAATACATAAAGAATATAATTACTTCTAATTCTTGATAATCTACAAGCAGCTCCAAAATTCTCGATGGTTGCATGAAACAACATGGTTTTCAGTTATTACAAGAAGTATCAGAAGTTCAAGAAAATGTACTGGATTATAAATAACAAAAAAGTATGTGTTATTAACTCTTAAATGACTTTTAAGATGCTTTGCTTATCTTTTATGTTTGGAAAGAACAAGGCTGACCTCTTCTGGTATGTATTTTTAATGCTAGTTCACTTTCTCTCTTCATTAGTATTCTTTCTGAGAATTTATGGTTTGAAACTTTTTTTATTTGTTTCTTGTGTTCAGCATTTTATCTCTCCTATATCTTGATCTCAATCTTCATTTCACAAGGATATGTTTATTTAAATACAGTAAAGCAGTGGCCCCCAACCTTTTTTGTGCCATGGCCCGGTACCGGCATCACAAAATGATCCACGGCCCGGTACCGGGCATCAGCACGCATGGCAAGGCAAGCCGAGTGACCGGCCAGCCAGCTGTCCCCCGCTTCTCCCCGCCACCTTCAACTCCTCCTTTGTACCTTTGTCGATGGGCTTCGGGACAGCTTCGGGACGGTCGCTCGGCTCGCCTTGCCTTGGGTGCTGAAAGAATCCTCGTGCCTTAGTTTCATTCGAAGCCGCCACCCCCTTCGATGAAACTAAGGCGCGAGGATTCCTTCAGGACCCAAACGCCACTTTCCAACCGGAAAAGTGCATCCGGAAGCACTTTCTCATTGAAACAAGATGGCGGCGCCCAGCAAACCGGCGGCCCGGTAGAAAATGTTCCACGGACCGGTACCGGTCCAGGGCCCGGTGGTTGGGGACCCCTGCAGTAAAGGGACAATTTAGGACAGTTCTTTCCCACAGCACTATTCCTCACGGTAAAGCTAACCATCAGCCTTTGAGCTAGCAGAAAATTATAGTAGCATAAAATTGGCTAAATATGCTGGTGATCCCTATCCCACCAGATTCTAAATCCCATGATGGGGGATAAAAGTTCTGTCCTTATCAGGTGCAGGTATGTTGAAGGCAAGGATTGATAACTTCCCCCCGCTTTATGTTCCTGGCTCTAATCCTGTCCTATCACCCAATCATCAGTTAATGAAAAGACATCTATCGATCATGCTCCTTAATGTGAGATGGAGATAGTGATGAGGATGAAGCAAATTTTAACAAATATGTCCCCTACTTGAATTCATGCTGGTTTTGCACAAATGTCTATGGCAGCGGTCCCCAAACTTAGCAACTTTAAGACTTGTGGACTTAGTTGGCTGGAGAATTCTGGGAGTTGAAGTCCACAAGTCTTAAAGTTGCCAAGTTTGGGGACCCCTGGTCTATGGAGATTCTCAGGGATCCAGCTCATAGTTGTCCCAAAGGTAATTTTTCATGAAACGTCTTTGAAGAAAAACCAGAAAGCCCCGTTGCCTTTTGAAAAAGCACCTTTGGGTTTTGCACAAATATTTTTTGCACAGGTACATTCAGAAGTCCAATTATGAAGTGTTATTAGTGTCAGGGCTCCAACAAATCCACCCCCATTCAAATAATAAGTCTCTAGCCACATCTCTCAGAGTAAAAAAATGTTTTATTAGGAATGGCCATGTTGGCGTTAGCTGGGTGCAGCAGACACTAAAATACATCATTCATTTTCCCCCTTGACCCTGATCTTCCCCCCACCCCCTGGATGTATATCCTCCAATGGGACACATCCATTGCCAAGAGTCATCAATCATGTTCTCCAGCAATATTCTTGTGTGCTGACAGCTTTGGGCTGCCAAGGCGATTATCTAACGCATTTGAGGAATGCACTGATTTCCCTCACTCCCTTTCTGCTGGCAACTAAAATGACCACAGGAGTTTTGTTTTTTAGTTGACATTTAGCTCATTATTAGGCTCCTTTGGGGCACAGGTTTAGCACTATTGCAGAATCACACTTCTGCTTAAAACCGCAAATAATAGCTGCAGGTATTTTATCTTACAGCTCTGTTTCGACCCCAGCTAGTGAAGTATCTAAGCCACATTTCTAAATCCAAGACCTTCTCAAAGACTTCATGACTAAACAGAGAGAATCCATTCTGAGAAAAAATAGACTTACCCACTATCCATAGGGGCCTGAAAGACACTGCTCTAGGATCAGAATGAAGTAGTCATGTCTATACCAAAGCTGGCCAATAGATGCCAGACTGGTCCTATTAGAATTGTTAATAGAGCATCTCAGATGGTATCCATAGCAAAACCAAAGGGGAGAAACTTCTATGATGCTGATAGAGCTAAAGGTGACTGCTTCAGATATAGGATGGCAACCGCATGAGGACACATCGGAAGAGATTACAAGATTGTGCTTGTGCTGCAATTCAATGCAAGTGAGAAAAATTTCTTACTAAGGGTCTCATATCTTTCATGATCATTGGAGGATAGAATTTGAATCTGTTTTATTTTTCTGCACAATTGTAGTACGCACAATTTTATTTAAACCATCCGGTGACACAGTGGTTAGAATGCAGTATTGCAGACTAATTCTGCCTACAGCCTGGAATTCGATCCTGATTAGCTCAAGGTTTACTCTGCCTTCCATCATTCTGAGGTCGGTAAACTGAGGACCCAGATTGTTGAGGGCAATATGCTGAGTCTGTAAACCTCCTACAGAGTGCTGTAAAGCACTATGGGTAATATATATAAGTTTAAGTGCTATTACTATTGCTATTAAGGCCTGGTCCAAATGTTTGGAACACCAATAAGAACTGCCAGCTGGCTGCATCAATCTTAATAATTCACAATCAGGATTCAGCCTTTTACAAACAAAATCACTTTTAAGCAGAATTAGACCACCTTTTCTGTGAGTGAAAACAGTTTTTCCTTTCTCCCTTCCTCCCCTGAGTTTTCATTTCCTAATTTTAAACCCAGTTTTTAAAAATCCCTGAGACTGGCTCTGAGCACCACATGTTCCAACATTTGCACAGAATGGGTCAGCAGCATTTACTCAATATTATTTCAAAGTGGCAAATAACTAAATCTCTTGCCTTGCCTTGCCTTCCAACAAATCTGTAACCAAACAAACATCCTTCTCCCCACTTCTTAAAAAAGTACAAAATAACAGTTAGTATTTCCCATCTCTTACACTTCATGCTAGTGGTGGGATTCAATTTTTTTTTACTACCGGTTCTCTGGGCGTGGCTTGGTGGGCGTGGTGAGGCTTGGTGGGCGTGGCAGGGGAAGGTTACTGCAAAATCCCATTCCCTCCCCACCCCACTAACCTGCTTTCCAGCTCCGTTCTCCTAGGCAGGGCAACAAAAGAAGACCAAGCCGATCAGCTGGGATTCGGGAGGCAGAGAATAATTGGACGTGGGGCCAGTCAGAGATGGTATTTGCCGGTTCTCTGAACTACTCAAAATTTTTGCTACCGGTTCTCCAGAACTGGTCAGAACCAGCTGAATACCACCTCTGCTTCATGCCCTTCGATGGATATATTGTTTTTGCCAAAAACACTAGAGTGAATCTGAGATGATGTTGTGTGAGACAAGGATGACTATTAATAATAGCTACAAATATACATAAAACCCTGCAAAACTTCCCACTCATTTTGGCAGGAAATCTCCATTACGTTCCAACTGCATGTAAGCCAGCAGTTCATATTTGGGCCTATTTTCTGAACCATGTCAGCAGTTTGCTATGACATAAGCCCAGGAGAAGGATGGTGGAGGATGGGAAACCATCCTTTCGAGGATGAACTTTACACATTTGATCTTGAAATGGCATTTCCCCATCCACAAATAACCATAGGTCTGTCCATTGGTGTTGCATTTGCTTGACTATGAAACAGTGTGATCAGTAAAAGAGGTTTTTTTTTTTTCTTGTACTGTTGAGATTATTTGTCGGGGTTGTTCTCTAAAACAATATTTTTGTTCTCTAAAACAATATTTTTTAATAACAAACCTGGCTAATTTCTTTGATTTTAAACATGAAGCCTATTTTTTTTTTCTTCTGCTTCATTTCTCTTTCAGAATAATGAACTGGAACTAATAAAAGGTGGTCCAAATCCTACGGATCTTAAGGGCACATGTGGTGATTTGACTAACAATGAGAAGGCAAGTCTTTCATTTTTTCAAACTGTCAGGCAGATAGATCTCCTCCCTTAGGACAAATGTTTGCAACCTAGTGATCCCTGCAGTAATTCAGAGATTTAGAATAGTTATGTAAATTGTTAACTTGAAATAATAATAGCTTAGAGTTTTTAATTTGAATTGTATCTCTGGACTTAGTTGTACTTAAAGTACTATTTCTCAAACTGTTGAACCTTTAGCACTTATTTCACCACCAAATGATGAAGTACCACCCATCTGAAAGGGCAGTCTTGTGCAAATAAGTGTGTACTTCTGTGCAAGCATACGTTGTCTGGCAATAATCCCACATTGGCTTTGGAATGACTTTGCCGATCCTTTGTTAGCCATACAGAAAGATAAATGAGAAAAAAAGAAAATAAACCCTTCTAGACTTTCTTATTTTCAAATGATGGGATAGAAAGAGCGCAATTATTTCCTTAGGATCAATCTGGATCAGTTCCAAAGAGTATTCAGTGTATCCAGATTTTAGCTATTTAGGAAAGAAAATAGGACCTATCACTGAATCCCAATTCTTTTATTCCTTGCTACTCTCAGTTGCTTACTGTAGCACTGGCTCCAGAATATTAAATGATGTAAGATAAACGAAATGAAAGTCTCATCAGCATGCGTAGTTCAAACAAGTCTGCTCAGTTAACTCAGAACTGAATTATTTCCTTGATTTCATTTTAATTATAAATAAAATGACACATTTTGCATGAATACTTCAAGCGAAAAAAAGCTCTTAGCATATTTAAATTTTTGTAGAAAGGAGAATGCAACATTTAGCACATATTTGTGCTGAACCATTAAGCTGCTGCTGAGGTCAGAGAGATTGAAAGCTGGTTTAAGAAAATTCTGCCAGATTGAGATGTGTGGTTGATGACTTGCCAGATGTTCAGTACAATTCTTCTAGTACTGTTCCCTCCTAATTTTCTCAGAAAAGACAGTAGTTACCAATCACTTTCCTTCCTATGAAAAGTATATATAAATATAGTGAACATATAGAATTTTTGTGTGCGTACAATATATGTATATGGAATTATAGTTATATATAAATAGTGGATGCATTAAAATGTCCATATATTCAAGAAGATGTGTCCTCTTTAAAATAAAAAAACCTTCTTTCTTGAATTTTTCTCAGTTTGGCTCAGTAATGTCTGTTGCAGTTATTGTTACAGAATTCTTTCAATAGCACGGGGGTTATAATGTTAGCGTGACTTGCAGAATGTCACTAATTTGAAACCCCATTGAAATGTGGATTTTTAATTACTATTTTTCTCACCTTGAACAACCCACATTACTGCATTATTCAATAAATTCTCCTGGAATTTTTCCATCAGTTGAAGTAAAACGCAAAAGATTTTGTTGTACTTATTCATGTGGAGCAGGGCTGCCAAACTCCCGGCCTGTGGGATAGATGCCTCACGCACTAGCCACGCCCACACCCGGATCAGCAAAGGGGGGGGGGAAGTCCCAATATGTCACATGATGCTGCCGTGACGATGTGAGTTTGACACCCCTGATGTGGAGTATTTGGGAGCCAATTTAAAAGAAAAAGAAGAAAACAAGCTCTGGTGTTTCAACTATGCTGCACTGGAACTTAAGAAGGAAAATGGCCAGCAAAAAAGTAGGAAGCTTAGGAGAAAAATAGTAATAAAAGGACCCTTTCCTGCTGAGTTTTGCACTGATAACATCTTATATATCAAGCAAATATCATAACCAGGGGTGGGATTCAACCAGTGTTACTACTGGTTCGGTAATTACGTTGCTATGACATAAGCCCAGGAGAAGGATGGTGGAGGATGGGAAACCATCCTTTCAAGGATGAACTCTACACATTTGATCTTGAAATGGCACGTGCGTGTAATACACAATAAGCTGTGCCGCCCGGACAGCTGATAAGCGCTGCGCGAGGGTGTGCAGCGTTTGAAAAACCGCTGCTTTAATGCTTTTTCAACCTCAGCTGTGCCACGCAAAGCAGCTGAGGTTGAAAAAGCAGGAAATAAAGGTCAGTTAACAGCTCAGGTGGGCCAAACAGCAGCAGACACAGAACCGGTTCTGTGTCTGCTGCTCTTCGGAGCTACCGATTCTATAGAGCCGTGCAGAACTGGTAGCATCCCACCCCTGATCATAACCACTCTACTATGGAACATTTATAATAATTGAGGCAGATATCGGTAAGCTGCAGGGCTTCAACCACTAAACTAAGTTGTTCCTTGAGTGGGGGTGTTTCTGTCACTACATAAAGTAATCTGTTAAGTTTGCTAAAAAGAAAATATTTAGCAGTAGCAGCTAAGATAGCAGTCCTTGTACTGACACTAACTGGAAAACATAGCTTTTAACGCAGAGCAGAAAAATACAGATGGGGGGGGGGTCACATTTGCAATAGGCTAGGTTTACGTTTACATCCAATCCTACCCTCCCGAAACGATGGGTGGATCATACTTGCAACAGGGCAATCTGGCCCTGTGACTGTCCCTTGGAAGCCCCCACTCCATTGCTTCCTAATAGCTTTTCTCAGCTGTTTCTTCTGCAGACCATCTGTTAGAATATACACAAATATTTCTGCCCGCCTACCTATTTATTTTTCTCTTTTACACATTCAGATTATCATGGTGCAAATATATAACCTTACTAATGTGTACTAAACTATTTAAATGCTAATTTAAAACTTGGTCTGATTCCATACACCCACTGAAACTAACTTTTTTTTAAAAAAAAATCTTGCTTACAGCCATTTTCTGATTCAGAAGGTCGAGTCCACGCAGAAACATATGAAGACCATTGCGTATTTACTATTGAAGGAGCTGAGAAGGAAGATGAGGGAATCTACAGAGTTGCAGTGAAAAATCCAGCTGGAGAAGACACAGCTAATATCACTGTAAAAGTTATTGGTAAGCAAGACCGTGGTGGGTTTAGTACATGAAACAAGCCTTTGTCAATCAGTCATCTCAAGTCTTTTTATTTCCCCATGGAGTAGAGCAAGGGTCTTCAAACTTGGCAAGTTTAAGACTTGTGGACTTCAACTCCCAGAAATCCTAAGCTAACATGACTGGAGGAAGAATTCTGGGAGTTGAAGTCCACGAGTCTTAAAGCTGTCAAGTTTGAAGACCCTTGGAGTAGAGACTCAGCAGCTGGACCACCCAATTCAACTCTTCCCTTTCCTATAAGTCAGTGTTTCACAAACTTGGCCACTTTAAGCGGTCTGGACTTCAACTCCCAGAATTCCCCAGCCAGCTATGAAGTCCAGACCTCTTTAAATGCCCAACGTTGAGAAATACTGCTGTAAGTGAAACTCCAAATAAGGGAAAAGCTGCAATGCCCGAATCTCCACTTTCAGTTAGTGGTTTTCAGGGAATAACAACAACCTCTGGGCAATTGTTGCCTAAATTAGCTCTTTTTTGTTGTCTGGAATGAGCTGAGAATAATCTCAGAAATACTTACAATCCAAGAACATAGTAAACACATCTTTCAAATATGTTTCTTGGTCACTTGGCTTGGCAATTAATTGTTCTCCGCTAACATTATTTCTGGGTTGAATAGAGTAATATTTTCTATCTTATGTCATTTAAAAATATAACATGTGGGTAAGTCTCAACAGATTGGCTATTTTTTATTTTTAAGTATTAATCTGATTGTACCATTTGTTTTACAGATGGAGAAATGTTGTGACTAATATAGGAGTTATAACAGGAACATCTCCCTTCCTTCAAAATGTTACTAAGCAACTTTTTTTCAGAATTTTCTTTCCCTTTTTTAAGAAGGAATTGTTTGACATAAATACCAATACAATAATGAAAGTTCAATAAATCAAGAATACAGCAATAACTTTCAAGATTGCTTAGGCCCAAAGCTCATTCGTGTTTAACTCAAAGTTAAATTTTTCAGTGACAATGTAATAACTTAAGCCGGTGTTTTTCAACCTTGACGACTTTAAAATGGCTGCTGGCTAGGGAATGCTGGGAGTTGAAGTCCACCCATCTTAAAGTTGCCAAGATTGAGAAACACTGACTTAAGTCATTAGAGTATCACGTAAAGATTTTTGGATTATCTCCCCTGAGATTCAGATTCAGATTGAGGGAGGGAGGGAGGGAGGGAGGGAGGGAGGGAGAGGGAGAGGGAGAGGGAGAGGGAGAGGGAGAGAGAGAGAGAGAGAGAGAGAGAGAGAGAGAGAGAGAGATGAGCTGAATTCCTTCTACAACAGTCTATTTTTCCAACTATTTGGTTTCCACATGGGCAAATCAATTTTGATGGGAATAGTAACATTCTCCCCTTCTGAAACTAGAGATAATATGTAGCCACCATACTGTTGAATACCTCCTACTCTTGCATTTGTCTAAGAATCTTTAAAAATAATTCAAATAGGCAGCTGCCATCACTATACTGTTATTTAACTAAAAAGATCTTTGATCTCATCTTTCCCTACTTCTCCAGATATACCTGATCCACCAGAAGCTCCTAAAATAACTGATGTTGGTGAAGACAACTGTATAGTACAGTGGCAGCCACCTAAGTATGATGGAGGACAGCCAATACTGGGTAAGAATCAACAATAATCCTAACAGAAGAGTTTTTAATTGGAACAGACGTTTTTTGTGAATTACTTACAGAAAAAAAAAATGGCAGAGCTGTGAAATGCCTTGGATTTGTTTCAAAAACATGCTTTTGAATGTGTGGAGATATAAAATAGCATGTCTGCAACTGCTTAAAGCAGATGATTTTTCTGAAAATTGCAGTTTGGGGATCCTAGAAAAACAAATCGGTACTATTAAGTGTTATAGAGAAGTGCATCATACATGCCTCATATGCTCCAAAGCACCTGTTTGGAAGAGAATCAGATAGTGCCTTGATTCCTTTTACTTGTCTTCTCAAGGACAACATATCCACAATGTGTTACTCAAGTCATACAAAAGGAAATAGGAGCACCTTCTCTGTATAAAGTGTCTAGAATGGAAGCTCATAATAAAATATCCAACTTTCATGAGCCGTTGGTTTCAATCAACTTCAGGTGTTATATGGAAAGCATAAATAGAACTCACCCTTATTTCTTCTGCAGTTGATGTTGTGTGCAAAGCATTTTTCAGTGCAGAGGTCACTTTTCAAAGAGACTACAGTAAGTGTCAAGACAGGAAGGAACTGTCATGAGGACAGATAGAGATTAAGCTTGCAGTCTTATAATACTGGCATGATTAAACACATTATGATCAGACTGTCTGTCTTTTGATGAGACTCTAGACAAAAATAACATTGGCATTATACAGCTCAAATGGTTTTAATGAGGCATATGGGACTAAGTCTCCTATTAATACATTACATGTATTGGCTGCAATGGAGCCATATTCCTGTCCCTGATTCTGCTAGCCCCACCCACTGACCTGTTGAATGGAAGCAGAGATTTCAATATTGATTAGCGCAGGCATTGTATTTCACATTCATTTGAAAAGCAATGGACTTAATAGTATTTCTTTCATACAGTCTACATATGCCTGTAATCAAGCTACCCATTTCAGTGTAAAAACAGTTCTTACTATCACTCACAGAGAAAACACTTCAGTCCTGAAGATCACTAGAAGAACATAAGCTCTATTGAACAGTATCAGATCTCCTCCAGAGCAATAGTGCATTGGATTGGCTTGCATAAAGTTCAGTCCTATATGTAGACCTTGGGAAGTCTTATCACATTCACAACTGCAAGTTCTGCATCTTCTTGCTGTAACTGGGTGTTAAAAATAGAAACAGAAACCTGTGAGGGAGGGGGATTTTAATTCACATGGATTGTTCACCCTACTTTTAAAGTTTAGATTTCTTAACTTGAGGAATAACCAGTTGGGCTGTTGGCTAGGCAAGTTTTATTTCAATTGGTATACAAGCAAGTGAGCTTTTAATAGTTTGTGTATTGTTATTGGACTGAATAAATTAGGTCCCTTTTTTAAAAAAAAATTACACAATAATGTGTAGATTGCCTATTTTTTGTATAAGCAGATTGACTACTCAAAGATCCAGCTTTTGGTTAGGTCACTATAACCAAGTGGGATGCCTTATAATTCTTCCACGTCAGCCATTACAATGGTAAATATAAAAACAGAGTTAATGTAGCTAATATAGAATTTGCTACTAGGGTCCATATCCCTCCTAAGAAATAAATGTTATCTATCAGAGGTCAGCAGTGACAGATGTTTTCTTCAGACTTTTACATTTCTCAGAAATGAGAGCAGAGGTTTAATTTCAGCCCTGGTCATGGTGCATGCTTCTTCTACACAGAATGATATAATGACACAGAGTAATAATAAATAAATCCCAATGTGACTTGTGAGTGGATTACAGAAACACAGAGGATTAAAATTCCATCCATGGAAGAGAGTCAACTTCAAGTCAGTTTAACCACAATCATGTGGAAGCCTCAGGAGAAAGAGAGAGTGACTTTAGAGTAACAATGTGATATTTGACTGTACATTAATAAACTAAATAAATATGGAATTGGCTGATAATTTGGAGCAATTTTTAAAACATGAAGCTATAAGATAGACACTGTTTATTAAAATAAACTTGAATTAAGGTATTAAGTAAGAAAGGCAAAACATTTTTCTGGGAAGTAAGAGGCAATAAACAGAAAAATGTAACTATTTTATAAATGTTTAATAATATGTAACTATTTCAACAATCATTCTAATTAATGCATGTTTGTTCTTAATTAAATATCTCAAAAAGGCATTATGTTGTGATCTAACACTAGTTCCAAAAAGTCTCATTATATGGTATTATCAATCCCATCCTTTTAATATACAATACAATTAGCCTTGATCTTAGGAAATACTTGTGAACTACAAGGCATTGTACAGTAATAGTAAAGTGTAATTAGATAATACTCAGGGTCAAGGTTTCCTTACATTCACACTATTTTTGCTTTTATCTCAATTTAATAATTAATTTGCTAAATAATAGAGCGTTGAGAATCCAAATATTATTTAATGTTGCCTTTCCTAGTCTATATACATGAAGACTAAATGACAAATGTGTATGAAATATGGATGCAAAAAAAAAAAATCTGATTTGAAAGTTTCTGCACATCAGAAGCAAAATGGTTGTGCTGGTGTTACTTGACTGCTATACGGCCCAAGGCAGGTCTTCTATACCCTTATAATTTCTTTTTGATTTCCAGGATATATCTTAGAGAGGAAGAAAAAGAAGAGCTACAGGTGGATGAGGCTGAACTTTGACCTTTTGAAGGATCTGACTTATGAAGCAAAGAGAATGATTGAAGGAGTTGTTTATGAGATGAGAATTTATGCCGTGAACTCAGTTGGCATGTCTCAGCCTAGTCCTGCCTCACAGCCTTTCATGCCAATTGGTGAGTGTCAACATGCATGTTGCATTATTTGTAATCCCTCCTTGAGAACACAAGAAAGAAATGAACAATTTTGAAGAGAAAAAATAGATGTATAACTATTTAAAGTTGTTTTTTTTCCTTTTACCTGTCCTTGAAAATGAGAGCATGGAGGTTCCAGTTTCATAAAATTGCTGATGAATTTCTAACTGTTAAAATTAGAAGTGTGAGAGGCAAGCTAGGCTGAACAAGAGAGGGAAGCTAATTGGCAGTGACCTCCCATTGCCTCTCAGCTTCCTCCATTCCATTATGGATGTAAATGCTGTAGTAAAAGCTGTAAGGCTATCTGATTAAGAAAATATCCATGGATTTTCTATAAATAATCATTATGACCCACACCATTTTGTAGCAGTCCTTGAGTTAAGGACACACTGTGTGAATCATTGTGAGAAAGAAGCATTTGAGAAATTAAGGTACAGCAGTCATAGCAATGACCGAGGAGGTGGCTCAACTCATAGAAGTCCATAAAGAAGAAGAAGAGTTTTCTGAAAGTAACGATGTGGAAATTCAAGATCCTAAGAATGGACAAGCAGAGAAAATTATAGTTGAAGAGATCGTGATTAGCTCTGATCTTCAGTCACCATTCAACAACTGTACTGGCAAAGGAGAACGAGAAGAAGAAGACGATTCAGTCCAGGAAACAATTGAAGAGTTCCCACAGGAAACAGATGAGCTAAAAGGTCCAGGATTTTGATGAAATAAAAACATGTTTACGAGATTAGAAATAAGGGGCAACCTGCAACTCTGGAGATGAAGCACTGGGTTTGTAATGTGCATTTTATGGTAAACATGCTCACATCCATATGTGAGTGATGCACATGCTTTTTGAAAATTACTTTCAAAGACTGGCTTTAATTGAATGTCATTCCAGAAAGGCAAGTGAGAAAATGTGTTTATCGCAACAATGTTAGGTTGGGTGCTAACATTAGGTGTTCCATCTGTTATGTCATTTTTAACCTTTTTGAAAAGAGAAGAGGCTTGTTATCTGTTGTATGGAACATTCTGCATAGTTGAAATATTTTAAATAGTGTTCGCAATGTGTTTAAATACCACAACATTTAAGCTGCCTAATTTATGATAAGCACACATATGGCACAAAAAAGTAACCCACCTACCTTCTTTTAAGTGTTGTTCCCTTATTGCATGTAGTCTAAACAAAATGAGGTTGAATCAGCTATTGAATGAGTATTGAGTATCATGTCAAACAGTGAAGTGTGAAGCCTTTGTAGACTGAGATGGAGAAATATTTGGTAAAGAGGAATCTCAAAGATTGAAATGCAGCTCAACTGTGCAAAATATATATCAAATTATAAACTGCTTGGAACCTTTGAGAATGAGCATAGTATAAATAAATATTTTAGGTACAATAACGATGATGATGATGATGATGATGACAATGTTGACAATAGATAATAGCACTGGGTGAGCTTCTGGTTTGAGTCTCTTCGGCGACAGACCGAAATCCGCGATCGTGCGTGGTTTTGATCTGTGCTCGCCGCCAGAGCGCCCTGAGATGGCTGGTTTTGGGGCTAAGCCACCCCATAGAGGTGGTGAAGAGGGGGGAGACTGCCAGCAGGGTCGAGGAGAGCCGCATCTCTCTTCCCCAGCTGGCCATCACTCCCTTTCCCAAAGGCGGTTGCAGCGGTGGTCAGAAATGGCCACCTCAAAGAACTGAACTGGAAAAGAATGTGCAGGAGGAAGATAAGAAGAGAAAGTTTTGGTCGACCGGGTTAAACTGAAAAAGCAATAACGTAAGGTACCCTGGAATTTAAACTAAATACCATTGTTCCCAAAGAAGATTTTGAAGCAGCGAAGGAGAAAGGATTAGGTTTTTTTTCTTCCCTTTCATATACTGACAGCTAAGAGACTTAAGCAAGAAATTGAAAAAAAAAATCCACTTTGACGTTAATAGGCATTTAAGCTGAAAATAAAAGTCAAAGGGATAATAAAGATTTCTGGATATTTAAAAGTTTTTAAAAGCAGGAAAGGAGAAAAAAAAGAATAAAAGGGTAGGATCTGGAAAAATGGAGGAGACTGCCTGGAACTAAGGAATGGAACTGTAACTAAAAGGAACTTACAGTGAAACTTTACCAAGATTCCCCAAAGATACATCCAAACTGAAACCTGGCAACAAAACAATAGAACCCCAGGAAGAGAAAGTGGAAAAAAGAAGCAAGAAGAAACAGCCTTGGATTATTTGGATTACTTGGTGATTTTTGGTTTTTGCATCTAAATGACTAAAACTAATCGGGTGGTTGTTTAAAAGTGTTTAAAATGGTATCACTCTTAGAAGAACTGAAAATGGAACTTAAAAAATGGAAAGAAGATGCACAAGAAGGGAGAGGTTCTTTTGGCTTCGTATTTCAATTCATAGATATGGAGATCTGGAACTATTAGAAACAACAAGAAACGCTTGCAGAACAAGAAGATCGGGACAAAGAAGAAGCCATCTTTAATGATCAAATAATTTTAAGTGGGGGGAAAAAAGGAAAGGGGGAAAGAGAGTGAAAGGTTTGAATGGATAAAATTAAAAGATATAAAGGTGTCATACTCCAATTAGTAACTACAGGGGAAAATTTGTTTAATGAGAAAAGATAGTATGAAATTGCAACAGGACAGACAAAAGTATAAATATAATGATTTGAATTGAGATGAGATAATTAAAATAAAGTTGAGAAAATTAAAAGAGGGGAAAAACTATGTAGAAAATATAAAACAGTAATAAGATATGGAATAGAACATAAAAATGAGCATGAAATTGAGTTTGTGTCTGTATGAAGAAGTGATAACCTGGGACCATGCTATTTCCAAAAAAAGATGTTTTATTTGTATTTTGTTTTTGTGAAAACCCAAATAAAATTTTCAAAAAAAAAAAAAAAAGAATAATAGCACTGGGAAAACTCTGCTCCAAAATACTTTGAGAATCAGAACCAGAAAATTGTTCTTCTCTAAATCTCCTCAATATTGACTGCCAATTAGAGAGCAATATGGTATCCCTTCTTGTCTTGCCTATAGTTAATTTTGGGGTTAAGAGCATTCATTATACACATTTTATTGGCATGCTAGCTAATAATTTCTGCCTTCTTCTTGAATCAAATTAGAAAATGTCACACCATCCACTTAGCTATATCCATGTGATCGTGAGCTCCAACAAGTATAAGCTATGCTTCACAAGAGTGCTTAAATGCTGCCAATGATATAGAATTCAGCAGCCTCCATCTTCACCTATTTTCAGCTTAGGAAATCCTATTCTAAACATACAATAATAGCGTCATACAGGAAACAGGGCTTTTGATAAAAAAAATTATTGTACTTCTGCTTTTATAGTTTTAAATGACGTTTTGCAAAAGCTTAAAATATTATAAGCTGACATTTTTAATAAGGAAAATAAAATTACTACTGTTGTTCAGCTTTAACATATCATGCAAAGTCTTTGGTTTGTGCATTTTGTTTAGCTCCTCCAAGTGAGCCAACACACTTTACTGTAGAAGACATTTCTGACACTTCTGTTACCCTGAAGTGGAGAGCCCCTGAACGGATTGGAGCAGGAGGATTGGATGGCTACAATATTGAATACTGCAGAGAAGGATGTGAGTAAGCCCTGGTGTATTCTGAAATACCTTCCAAGGAATAAATAACACCCGTTTTGCTGATCTTCAGGTTGATAAAGTGGAGAGAGGAGGATACTGTAATATGAAAGAATTATTAGAGAGATTACGCTTTAAAACTGGCTAATATCACAGAGATGCTCTTTTGAGGGGGTGCCTATTTCCTAAAATGTTGATGACTATGCATAGAAACAAAGATGATAACCAAATATGAACTAACTTATAAGAGTGGATATAAATTTACAGGATGAATTTTGGCAGTTATGTATTTTGTTTGCCTCTCTACCTCCAAAGAAATGACTGGAACTAATGTTTTTTGGTGATAGTAATTGTTACACATTTTTATCTTGTCAGTCATTATTTCTAAACTTATTACAGCAAATGTTAAAGTAAACTGTGATCTGTGTAATTTTCAATAGATCCAGTTTCAAAATACAGACTCTCCCTCCTCTAACTGTTCCTTAGATTTATGTTAAGTTTAGTTAGCAATATCAAGTTCACCTAATAGAATAATGTCCTACTGAATTTGCTTTTGAATAAGTTGAACTTACTTTGAATAAATAGAATTATCATGCCATTAGACAAAGTCTTATAAAAATATGGTTAAAAAATATCTAGCAGTTTGTTGTTTAATATCTGCAGCCACCGAATGGATTCCAGCTCTTCCTAGCCCCATTGAACGCACATCTGTCTTACTTAAAGATTTGGTTACAGGAGACAAATTGTATTTTCGCATCACTGCTATAAATTTAGCAGGGATAAGCCAACCAGCAATGATTAAGGAACCAGTTACTGTTCAAGAGATCTTGCGTAAGTGTCTTGAGAGAATTCCTGAAGTCATTTATAATTATTTCTTTAATGAAAAGCTACTTGGAGTACAAGGGAGTATAAATTTGTTTATTGGAGTTCATTTTTCCTAATATTTTAAATTCATCAGTCTTCTAATCTTATTGGGGCCAGAGGGAATATTTTGAATTTTGAAAGCATATTGTGGAAGCTCCAAAAAATAATTATCACAGAGGCAGTCATCCATTTACAAACAAATGTCAAGATGGCACTACCAGTCACAGTATACTTCTTTCACTGAGGAAAAAAAAAAATCTCCAAGAATTGCAGTATATGTAGACTCATTAAAAGAAATCAATTTTTTAAAAGTATCTGACAAACTTTCAGATACTCCAAGCTGCTTAGCAGGTATCAAATGAGGCTTTATAGATGTATTATTGTAGTTGGGTTCCATGTTGGAATTTCAGTTTTAACCATATGAATCTGGCTTTCCAATGTGAGTCCAGAATCTCCAAAAACTGGGTTGAACAGCTGGTTTACACTAGAACATGGATGAGCAATCTATAGCTCTTGAGATATTCTTAGATTCCTACTTCTCTCACAATGGCCTATTTCATGGATGATTAATTGAACAATTAGAACCCCAGTGTGATTTCTTATTCCCATGTATCTTTGCGGCATTTGCCATGGCACAAGTATTTTTTTTTAAAAAAAAAAAAACTCCAAGTAATCACCATTAAACATGCTTAAAATTATGGTTTTTTTTGATTCTGTAAATATTTAATACATATTGTCAAAATCATTTCTTATTTTTCTGCACAAATACAATGCATGTGTACAATAATCTGAAATAGAGCAATTATCTTCTGACTTGATTTTTGATCTACAGAGCGCCCTAAAATTAGGCTGCCACGCAATCTCAGACAGACTTTAATGAAGAAAGTTGGTGATACAATCAACATTGTAGTTCCTTTCCAGGTATGTGTTGGGATCTATACTGATCATAGGGCAAAGTCTTACCCTTGTTGAAGAAACTGACAGTGGAAACAGGTATTCCTATGTATCTCTGGAGTAATTCTTGTCAAGTTGTCAAGAAATTTCCTCATCATTGGGTGAAAGCTCATCTGGTCTGGATTTTCATCTTTCCATCAAGTTACATAAGCACTGCCCACCTCTGATTTAGCTGAGGACAATGTTTGTGGTCATATCTCTTCAACTGAGTAGAACGGTAGTATCTCTAGCTTTGCCATACAAGAATGTTTGTAAGGAAGTACACTGCCAGAAAGAACTTTGAGGAACAGCCAGTGAAAAGAAATCCTGTGCCATCACTGAATAAGTTATTTCTGCCTTCTACCCCTAATGTGAAAAGCTGCACAAAAGAGACACTTCTAAATCTCATAATGGTCAAAATATTTTTTTAAAAGCTCATTTAAAATCTGAGGGCAATTTTTCTCAACCCTGGCAACTTTAAGATGTGTGGACTTCAACTCCCAGAATTCCTCAGCCAGTATGTGTAACCTTTAAAGTTGTTGAGGTTGAGCAATGTTGGCTTAAATCAAAAGATAAGCAATAAACAGAAAGGTAAATAGAAATTACACAATAATTTATTCAGAAGTTATGAAAATCTTCAACTCATCTTAGGAGGGGGAAAAACTCTACTCTACAATCCAAGTTGTACAATTTCCCTCTATTGCTCCAATGCAACTGCAAAGAACGATTGGAATCCTTCATCCCCATTTTAAGTTATCCAAACTTGACAAACTGAAAAATTTGAACGGTTACTTGTTTAATACATGTTAATTTTAAACATCCTGGAATGAATCTTTCTAGCTGAACTTCCAGGTGAAGTGGGTGGCATGTAAGTTGAATAAATGAATAAATGCATATATACCAATATGTTTGACAGTGACTTGATGACTATATAATAATTGAAAATCAAAGCTTTAAACTGTGGCTTATAAAATTAATTGCATTTTGTCTTGAATGGTATACTGAACTGTTTTTAATCTAAAATGGAGTAGTTTAAGCCAGAGATAGGCAGGCATGCAGGAGTCTGGGGAAAAGCTCATTATTAAAACTCATTATTGTCACTAAAAATCTTGGTTTTTGTGATGTCTGATAATGGTCATGATAAAATAAAAATTAAATTCTAAATACTCTATACATTTGAACATCAATATACATGCCATGCTTACATTAGTGATGTTAAAGATTTCATCTTTTGAAGGATTTGACTTTTAAATTGTTGAAATGCATTGATGCTCTCAAGTGTGTGTGTGTGTGTCTTTCAAGTTCTCTGTCTGGTAAGGAAGAGATAGGCTAAAAGAGAAGAACTAACCTACTCGAGAGAATTCCAGCCTCACAGTAATGAAAGGCATTTTCTTGCTCAATGCATAAATTGAAGCACACATTTTAAAAAACAGATTCTTGACTTTCAGGCAGATGTATATTGTTCCATGGCGATGATTTAAAAAACAACAACACATCTTCCTGAGAAGCAGGTGCTAATGAGAACTGATCATTTTGTAAAAAGTCAATTAAAATTATTTTCTGATGGCTTCATTGTAGCTGTATGTGAGGGCTATAGCTATATATTTCTAGCTATATATACAAGAAATAAGCCTACACAGAACAGAGAGGAAAAAATTATTCATAAAAGGCAGCAGGCCATTAATACAAGCAAGTACTGAAAATCAAATTTGTTTTCAGTCTGACCATTTTTCTTTCTTTTCACAGGGTAAACCTAGACCTAAAGTTGTCTGGAAAAAAGATGGTCAGCTAATAGACTCCAAGGAAGTGGGAATACGAAATAGTTATACAGATTCTATTCTATTTATCCGAAAGGCAGAGCGCCACCATTCTGGGAAATACGAAGTTGAAGTGCAAATAGAAAACATGAGTGACAAGGTCACTATTACTATGCAGATTATGGGTAAGAAACTGCTGGATAATTTTATTTATTTAAACAGTTGTATCTCACTCTTCATATGGAACAACTTAATAGAATTTAGTTCATCTGAAATCAGGTTGATTTTTTTTTACCAATCCTTCTGCAAAATATATTTAGTTGTAGCAGGACTCCCAGCAATACAATAATTAAATATCCTTCTCATTCCTTGTTTCAAAAAATATTTTTCCTAATGCTCATGTAAAGAGTGATTGAGGAGTGGGGGAAGAGAAAAATGCTCACATTTAAGTATAAACTCCATTGGCTTGGTGCCTCTTTGGATTGATGATCAATTGAGCATAGACCCAACCCAAGTTAGAAACCACAGCAACTGCTTTTATTACAAGAGTGTCAGAATTTCTGCGGTGGATTTCACAACTGAGCTTAGTTCTATGCATTAAACCTATAGCCAGGGATGGGATTCAAATTTCTTAACAACCGTTTCTGTGGGCATGGCCTACAGTATGGCTTGGTGGTCATGTGACTCGATGGGCCTGGCTTATATGTAAATATTGTAAATATTTATGTAAATATTGATTTTTTTATACAAAAAGAGCAACTTTTACCCCAAATCAGGCAAATCAGGTAGGCAGATTGAGTTGCTCACAGATTCACAGAATCACTTAGAGATCTACCATTCTGCAATCTGCTACCTGAGTCTGTCTCATTAAATTTGCTAGCAAGCAAACTCACCAAATTATCTCACAACACACCATTAGTAAATATTGAATTTTTAATAAAAAAGAGCAACTTTTACCCAAAATCAGGCAAACCAGGCAGGCAGATTGAGTTGCTCCCAGAATCACTTAGAGATCTACCATTCTGCAATCTGATACCTGAGTCTGCACTGAAAAATAGAAGCTTCAGTCCTGCTTTTTAGCTAATCTAAATCTCCGGGCACAGCTGATAGTCAGAACAGCTGATAGTCGGAAAATAAAAGGAAAAATGGTAACTTACCAAAAAGTAGGCTAAAGCAGGCAAGTTGGATGGCACGTATCCCAGTTAAGGAGTGAGTGGGTGGGGTGGGGTGGGGCCAGCCAGTGATGCGATTTCTCTGAACTGGGCCGAATCATAATAACCGGTTCTATAGAACCAGACCAACCAGGTAGAATCCCACCCCTGCCTATAGTTACTAAAACATAGAAAAATTGAGATAGTATAGACTATAGAGGGTTTTTCTAGAACTATTCAATTAAGAGTGAAACTACTCATCCATTTATAGGAGCAGCTATTACAAGATTCATTTGAATTTTTGTCTCAGGAGCTCCTTTACATTATGCCTCTGACAATGCAATCAGGTTTTTTTCTCTGAGACAGGGTCTTATTTTTGAGGGAATTAATTCATTTCCTGTAAAATATATATAAAAAATCATCTGAAAGAGTAGCAACCCAATCTGATATTCCCAGAATTCATTATTGATCATTTTAAGTGTTTAATGGACAGCTGGCTATCTCTAACAGGTATCCAGCTAAGAAGGATTAATGGGTGCAACCATATCACATGTTGAAAGGGAGGGAGGGAGAGAGAGAGAAAGGTCATAGAGCAAATAGCAACATTTAGCTAACCTTGGCTGATCTTGAGAAGGCTAAAAAGGGTCAGACCTGGTTCATTTTGAAAGGAAATCTGAAGGAAATCCCAGATATACTGTATACCTAAGGCAGGGAATTATAAAGTATATCAGAAGAAGATAGTGGCAAACCAGTTGTATATTGTTTCCAAAAAGACTACATGTCCATGAGGAATCCAGAAGTCAAGTGTCACTCAAGAAAGATATTTTTTAATCTTATTTTTATAAAGCTACACAATAATTAATAACCCATTTCTATTTCAGAACAGTTTTTAAGCAATATGTGCATGCAAATTAGTATAGTGTTTTATTTATTTACCACATTTGTATCAAAATGCCCATTTTAGCTGCATGACTCTGGAGAGTTTACAAATAAAACCACAGAATCTTAGAAACTGATGGAATTCAACTTCAGCTTAAAAGATGTTGGGGGGGGGGTGAAAGAAAAAGTTTTAATTTCTTGATTTTCATTGATTAATGGTGAACATCCATGGATTTGGAGAAAGTGAAAGTTATTGTTTTTACCTTTCTCTATTGGAATACGTAGCCACTGAATATATATTCCACATCTATATTTGGTAGGGTAAATTTATTGTAGGAGGAAAAACTGGATGCAGAGGACTACTTGGAATATATCAGCACATGAGGTTATTTAAGCTGAACTCCCATTTGTATCACATCTAGGTAAAAACACTGAGGAGCCGTTCCTGATTATGTATAGCAGGTTGTGTGTTTTCTTTTTCTTTTTCCAGACAAGCCTGGTCCTCCTCTGAACATTAAGATTGTGGACGTATGGGGATTCAATGTTGCATTGGAATGGATGCCTCCCCAGGATGATGGCAATTCTCAAATCACAGGATATGTGGTCCAGAAGGCAGACAAAAAAACAATGGTAAGAATCATAGGCTGGGTAAGGGTACACATTCATCCTAGGATTATGTGCAGTCAAATAATGCTTCCTGTAATAGTATGTGGGAATGGCCTTGGGAGGCAGGAGAGAGAACTTGCCAGCTTGCCCTCGGAAGTTGTGGGAGTGCCATTACTTGAGACTTTCAAGAAGAGATTGGACTGCCATTTGTCAGAAATGGTGTAGGGCTTCCCGCTTGGGTGGGGGTGGGGGGGTTGGACTAGATGACCTATAAGGTCCCTTCCAACTCTGATTATCTGTTATCTGTTAATTACAGACTGGACAACCAGAGTTTAAATGTATCTCAGCCCTCAGAAAGAGGGAGGGCATCAGAAATATTTTAGAACAAGCCTTCTTATTTTTCCAGTATGTATGAAGAAAGGAGGGGAGAAGTACTTTCAGTTTCAGAAGACTTTGTTAATGTAACTTTACAATAAAGATATAGAGCTAGTATTCTTGTTTGTGCTTCTCTTCTGGACTACCTCGCAGGACTCCACATCCTACAGTCATGATAAGTTAAGATGATAACATTTGCATCATTTCCACAGTTAGAATTAAGTTTGTTTGGGGAATTCCAGAAGTATATAATCAGTGCTTATATTTTTTAAAAAACCTCCTTTTCCTTTCATTAAAAATTTTAGACTATGAAATATAAGTAGAACTCAAAAGATAGAAGCCATTCCCCTTTTTATGAATGCCTGTGGCTATGATAGAATTGTGAGAAATTCTATTAGAGCCGCAATCTTGTTTGCAAAATAGTTGCTACAAGAATTCTGGTTCACCCGTCAACCATTGTAATGGAGCAGTTATAGCTAGATTTCTCCACCTCTATGGGTTAATTATTAGGCTAAAGGAAATGCTATCCTGCTCTACCTTCTAAGGGCAACTTATTCTATTGAAAGGAAACTGCTTTCTTCTTTCAGTCTCTTTGGCCAAAAAAATCCCAGCTGTAGTTTTCTATATGTTAGTTTTTCATGGAGAATGATTCACTTCTATCTGTTCTATAGCATGGTACATCTCCCTAAAATGTATTTATTCCCAGTAGAAAACTGAGAGATCTGGTCTATCTGTGATTAGGTTGCAGCATCTCTTGCCCTACACAATGTAAGTTCACAATTTTAACACAGGTCTTAGTTCATAAACATCCCTTGAAAATCAATTAGGATTTTTAGTGTGTGTGTGTGTAATTAATATTATACCTTGATTGCACATCTGCTAGAGGTTCCATTAATCTTGTGCAGTAAAGTACTCTGCTATTATTGCAAGGAGGAAAAATACAACCCAATTTTTTTATCCAAATTGCTTGGCTGTACAGCAAGCAGGAAAAGGAAAGAAGTAGGGAAAGAATTGGTGTTGATTGCAAATGAAGTCATATATTTTAAGAATAAATAAGATAAAATAATAAATTAAGAGTTTATATTTAAGTGTTGGACTTCTTATTGCACATAATCCAGCTACCTTGTGTATGTATGTATTCCTTGTCTGAACAGACATTACAGCTAGTTAACCTTAGGATCCATTATGGCTTCATCAAGTTCTGCTTTGTATCATCGTGCTTGTGTATCATATGTCCGCTTTTAAAAAGATGTTTACATTTTAAGGTTCAGCACACTTTTGTTTTCCAGGAATGGTACACTGTTTTTGATCACTATCGGCGCACTAACTGTGTAGTATCTGAGCTGATCATGGGAAACGAATACTATTTCAGGATCTTCAGTGAAAACCTGTGTGGGCTGAGTGAAAATGCTACAACCACCAAAAACTCTGCCTATATTAAAAAGACAGGTAACTAAGATAAATAATACAGGCACTTGCCAACATTCTCATTAAAAATTATCTTTCCTAATGTTGAAGTCAAAATAAGTTGTCATATATTGTATGGGATATCCACTGAATTTTTGCTATTCAAGCCAGTTAATATTTGAAATAATTGCACAATTTAGTATTCAATATATTGGTAGATGACATGACATATAGTGGTTTGTGCAAGAATTTCCACACCAGCATCTACCAGAGAGTCTCCATCATGGAACGGGACACCTCACCTTAGCCAACTTCTTCATCATGGGAGACAACTTGTTGCAGGACAATTCAACAAATACAAAAGTTAAATTAATATCAACAGAACTGTGGCCAATAATAATAAAATAAGAAAGTTGATCCAGAAATACAATAAGTTACAATAACTTTGAAGAAAACGTAGTCTCCAATAATAAAAGGAACTGACTGAAACGATTAATACAACAGCTTGAATTGTCCCACAGCTCTAAAGGCAGGATATAAATAAACTAATTAAAAAAAGACAAACTAGTAAACTTGTTCTGAAATGTCACATTCATTCCAAGCTTTACTCCAAGTGCAGAGAAGAACAAAGATGATTGGGGAACTGTAGGCTAAAATATATGAAGAATGATTGCAGGAATTGGGGATGTCTAGGTTAATGAAAAGAAGGACTTGGGGTGACATGATAGCAGTGTTCCAATATCTAAGTCAACCTATTTTCCAAAGCACCTGAAAGACAGGAGAAGCAGCAATGGATGGAAACTAATCAAGGAACCAACCATCCTATAACTAACAAGAAATTTTCTAACAATTAGAACAATTAATCAGTGAAACGACTTGTCTCCAGAAATTGTGGGTGCTCCAGCACTGGAGGTTTTTAAGAAGAAATTGGACAACCATTTGTCTGAAATGTTTTAGAGTTTCCTGTTTGAGCAAGGGTTTGGACTAGATGGTCCCTCCTAATTCTTCCAATCAAATTCCAATTCTTCCATCAAATTCTTTAATCCTAAGACTAGTTCTAGATAATGACAATTGGAGAGTTTCACAAACATGGAAGGAGAGAGAAAAGCAAGAGAATTGCACAAAATAGACTGCATCCTTCATAGATCTTTGTTTACTCCTGAATGTTACTGCTATCCTATTTTAAAATATTTTAGCTGGACGTTTTTAATGATTGTTTTAAAATATGAGCATGATTAAACCAGGACACTTCCTGTTTGGTTTCTCCTCACCTTATCTCTTGTTCATTGCTGCAGGAGCAACTTACAAACCACCTAATTACAAAGAGCATGACTTCTCTGAGGCACCAAAATTCACCCATCCCCTTTCTGATCGTTCCGTAGTTTCTGGGTACAGTGCAACACTCAGTTGTGCTGTCAGAGGAAGCCCAAAGGTATGTCATACTATATCCTACCACTGGATTTTTTAGTATACATAACTGCAGTGGGAAAATTCCTATTACTATGCTAAGGTGTGTATGGCATTGTAACATATAAATATATTGAAGCAATAGAAAAACAGAAAACATTCCAGTTTATAAGTGAGCCTTAAAACTAGGGCAAGGACAGTGTTGTTTCTAAGCACAAATATTTTAGCAATTCAGGATAAGAACTTAGACTAGGAGTTATATAAGATTATTAGAAAAGCAGAGGCTTGAGTCAGGATGAGAAGATCACCTTTGAGAGAAATAGAAAAAGATATTTTCATAAAGGGAGAAAATCACAGAATAACATTAAGATATGAAAATTGGCTGAGCATATAGTCCTATATCACTATGAAATTTGCATGAAGGAGGAGGTTTGGTAAGAAGGTCTGTTTTGCTTCTTATACATCATGCTAATCTTGCCAGTGGATTCTGGCCCATCTTTTATGGAATTTCCCAAACTGCAGGTAGTAGTCCTGGACTTACAACCATTCATTTAATAACTTTATTTATTTATTTTATTTATTGATTTGATTTGTCAATCACTTACAAGATAATAGGTGTAAGTATAAACATGAGTAAGAATACAGAAAATAGGTACGAATGGGGACAATAGGACAGGGATGGGAGGCACAATGGTGCACTTATGCAGCCCCTTAACTGTGTGAAGTTACAACAGCATTGAAAAAAGTAACTTGTGATCAGTCTTCAACAACCACTTGGCAACTGACATGCACTTATGACAGTTGTATTGTCAGTCATCGTTTGTAACCTTCCCAGCTGATTTCCAATAAGCAAAGTCAATGGGGGAAGCTATGTTGGCTTAATGACTGCATGATGTGTTAACAACTGTGGCCAAAAAAAAGCCGTAAAATGAGGCACAACTTACAACTTGCTTAGCAATGGAAATTTAGAGCCCAATTGCGATTGTACAATTAAGTCAAGGACTATATGTATACTTCTTATCTTTAGCAGATAACATTTTTTTTAAAAAAATTGAAGGACCTAACATGTATGAAATACTTCTGGAAGCAAACATGTTTGGGTTAAAAATGCATTTGGACTGCTTAAGTTTCCAATGTAATCTCTAAGTAGCAAAGTAGATGTCCTTTCTTCTTCAAAATGACCTGCTTCTGCTTCAGACTTATTGTTTGTTTTCATAAACACAGCCCAAAATCTTCTGGTTCAAAAACAATGTGGACCTTTCTGGAGATGCCAAATACCGCATGTTCAGTAAACATGGAGTGTTGACTTTGGAAATCCGCAAGCCCACCCCATTTGATGGAGGCGTTTATACCTGCAAGGCAGTGAATGAATGTGGTGAAGCAGAAATAGAGTGTCGGTTGGATGTTAGAGGTACTAAAGAGGACTTAATTGATCTATTACTTCCTAAAAGATAAGGCTTTGAGTCTGTATCCTAAAGGTTCACTGTACAGTTTCAGTGTCCTTTTGGATACATTTCCTTGAAGGAATGATGTGTATAGCTAACATTTCAATAGTCTAATTAAATAGTAGACTAAAAAACTATGGACTTACGAAGACTTATCTGCATGCAAACTGGGCAAGTGATTTTACTCATTGCAGATCTTTTTGGTCTGCAATGAGTAAATCACTTGCCCAGTTTGCATTTTTAGCAAAGCATTTTTAGCAATGGTTCATACTGGTTTCATATTCCAATTCCAATGCAGAGAGAAAGGAATGTTAAGGAAACATACAGATATTATGTCTACCCTCTTTTTATGTTCCATTATGCATTCCATATCTTTTCTTCCACAAGTTGCAGATAACCTATGCCACATGTACTACATTACATGAGCAGAATCTCAAAAGTGGCACAGCAAATGAATCTTTTTCAAAATTACAGGCACAATGACTTCCCATACAGATTGGCAGCAACAGAACTGCTGCTGAATTTGCATTACTGTATCCCATTTCTGTGTAAGGAAACTGATTGAAGGTTTAAGGCAGGCGTGTCAAACTGGTGGCCCATAGGGCGGATGCGTCACACACAGGCCACGCCCACCCCAGCTCTGCAAAGGGGAAAAACATTTCGATGTCATGTGACAGCAATGTGATGCTGTGAGTTTGACACCCATGGGTTAAGGCATCAGGGCATTACAGATCAGGAGAAGGCCAAGTATGTCAGTCTTTGACCACAAGCAAAGCATGTGACTATGATATAGTGTAGTACAGTATATAGAAGCACACCAACTTACCTTCAAAACGGCAAACAAAAAATTATCCTATAAACTACAAATGCAAGGTCAACTGGAATACTAAAATACATTCTCAGTATTTTATGATAGATAAAATGGATTGTTAGCACACATGAATATGTGTCTTCATTCATTTCTTATTTATTTTGGTTATCTACAGCACCACAGTGAAATTCTAAGCAACTGGATATCAGCAAGTCCAGATATGGAACTGAATTGTTTGTCTCAACAAACTTGGGACATCTGGGAAAAATTGGAAGAGGCCAGTAACATAAAGAAAAACCAGCTTCTGGGTGTCACAAATGCCCATCGCTCCTGCTGCCGGGGAAATTACAGAACAAACTCAATTCATTTCCTGATGCGGTTTCAGTCTCTTGTTTGCTTTGCTCCCAATTAGTAAGACTGCTGTTCTTGATAAGAGCTCCACATACCCCCGTTATAATCATGCCAACTTAGCAATTTTCGGTTACTAATGGTTTTACAACGGTAGAACCTGTTTGACCACAAGCAGGGTATGTGAGATCTATAGACAGGAAATCCACACAAAATGCATTCATCAGTTTTTGGTGTTTTTTTAAAAAAACACAAGTCCATTTGGGAATGAGACCAATTGCATCATTATATTGTGACTTAGTGCATATGCTTAGGCCTCACATGCAAACAACTGGAGTGTAATTTTTCAAACTCTTGGGTTTTGTTTTTTTTATGTAATACTTATGGCAGATAACTTTGGAAGCTGCTATGGAAGTCTTCTAAAGGATGTGGCTGTTTTAAGAATTCAGAGGTGCTCCACGTTCCTTGGGAAGCACCTCTTTTGATGACTTTGGGCAGTTCTCCAAGAAATAATTTCTGCTTGTCTTTAAAAAATTGTTACCTAAGAGTTGAATTTGGGGAAAAATGATCGGGGCAATTCTGCAAAACAATCCGTTGACTTTTGTGTGTGGTTTTTTTTTTTGGGGGGGGGAATATCCTTAATGTAGTCTATTTACACATGGATTTTGTCAGCGTAGATTTCACATTTTAATCAAACAAATGGGTTTTATTTTTCTGAGTGTATAGTTTGAATTGACTAATAGCAAGTTTTTGCATTATAGCTGAACTGCACAGACACATTCCTTTAGGAAAAATCACATATCCAGGAACAAAGTATGGGAGATAATGAAAACAGAAGAATATTGCAGTGCAAATATTTAAATTTAAAAATTAGGGAGTTTTAAATCCTACTGGATTAGTTTGAATAGATTTTTATAGAAAGGTGTATGGGAGTGCTGGGGCTGTTATCAATACTTTTGGGGAGTAAACTAATATCCTACCCCACTTTTTGAATCAGCTAACCTCCCTGGGCACCTTTTATCTTGCCAGGTCCCAATTTTCCCCTGCTGCAATGATTGGCATAAAACTTTGCTTGATGATCTCAGGTTTCCAGGTTTTCACAATTGGAATTGTGCTGTTAAGGGATCAATCTTTAGTCTTCCATTCTTGATTACAGTTTGAAAACTTCTGGTTTATATTGCTCTGCATACTAAATGTAACATCGTCTTATGGCTGTTTTTCAAAGTCAATTCTAAAATTATTTTACAACAGCATCAGAAACTGTAATAAAGCTGTTCCCTGTTTTAAACATACGAAATCTATTCCCTGCACATTTAGGAAATAATATTAAGTTTATAAACACTGATACAAAAATATAAAGCACCAATGTGCTTTTCCAAACACAACACTGTATCTTTAATGAAAATGTACTGCTTCTGTGTAAGGAAATAAATATAATCAGCTTTTTCTTTTCCATTTGGTTTCCAGACTATATTTATTCTCCCAAGCGGTTTGTGATTTCTTGGTCTGTATTTATAGAACATAAAAGAGGACTATTTCAACTCCGTAGTTCATAGAAAGACTCTGTAGTCGCAGATCTCTACCTGAGAATATGTCAATAAGGGTGTGCATTATTATTATTATTATTTTTGCTTCCAAAGGCTACATGAAGCAATGGCTCAGGCTCTATGTGCTTATCAAGGGTGTGGTTGAAGGTAATGAACTTCTATGTGTGTAAATGTAAAATATTATAATCTAATCTAATTACAATATTACAATCTAAACTGACATGATTTTGCTAAAAATAATATAGTGTGGGAAGAAAAGAGAGAATAGAGAGAACCAAATCCACTATGCTGAAAGAGAAAAAATAGTAATTCAAGCAAAGAAGCCAAGAAGATTTTCTTCATTATGATCAACAGTGATCTTAAAACGAACAATAATATGACTTATGAACCAATGCAATGTTTATCGGAGTAATCTAACGAAAAGTAATAAAAGCAATAGACGGAAGTGATGGCTTTTATTTTTATATTGCATTTCAGTTGATTGATAGCTATGTAAGTTACTTCATGCTGAAGAGTTACAAAGTTACAACAGGAGGCTAAAAAATCAAGTGAACTTATAGCTGGAAGTTTTGCTCTGTTTTCCTTATGCAGTGTAAAGAACCAAAGGTTTAAGAAACACTGCACTAGATTATAAACTGAATCACACATCTCTTTCAATTTCTGCACATCGGCCTAAGATAGGCTTAAGCACTGGCAAAACTAGTGAGAATGCATAATTTCATTTTTAAAATGAACTTAGTGAAAATAATGCAACATTTTGCAATCTTAAATAATTTACCACTCTACCATTTTGGAGCAAATAATTTGCATAGTATTTTATAGTGGATCACAGATACAAAATTGCAGCCAATTAAACTTCATGCCTGTTCAAAATTTACCGAACCTGCTCTAGGGTGAAAAATTTAAGAAGAAATATCCATTTCATTTCATTATAAGTCTGAAGACGCTATGGCATTACATTTATGTGAATCAGTCCAAATATTGAGTTATGTTTCCCACTTTACCTCTTAGAGAATTCCTGTTCTTTCAAACCTAAAATTACAAATATATAATGCTTTAAAAGCGTACACACAATTTCACACATGCACATGCACACAGCCTTGATTCAGGAGACCTCAATGCAAAGGGCTTTGCTTCAAATGGATGAATTTTCTGCCTCAGTTTTTATATAAAGACATCATTAAGCTACATTGAGGTGCTTTGATTATTTAATCAAAACCTGTGCATAATAAATGCCCCCTCCTCCTACCTAGTCTGTTCAAATGAGAGTTAAGTATATATTTTAGAGATGGCCCCTTCAGTTTTGGTTTTATCTGAAACTGAAGTCATGCATATGGTACACAAGACTAGTAAGATTTCACAAGAGGCAACAATGGTTTAATTGGATTTTAATTTAACATTCAGACAACTGTACACTTTTCTATAAATATATGTGGTACTGAAATATGTACATTTCTTCCCCCCTCCCACCCTTTATAGTGCAGTCAATTCAACAGTCATACAGATTAAATTGTGCAGAACAAGCCCAACGATTCCTAAAGGCATGTTGCCTAGAAATGTTATCACTTCTGTGGTACTTCAACATCAGCCAGAAAAATCTGCCAGATGTTCCACAGTTTCTTCTCTACTGTAGATTTTCTCTTTCAAGTACCTTGGTGTATTTTTGCATTAGAGTCCAGTATAGTCCAGGAAAAGTAGAAAGACAATTCATTTATTTTTCATCCTACTCAACAATTGTCAAATGCAAATTTACCAGAAAGGGAAAATTCATTACACAGTGACATTTTTTGTTTTTGTTTTTAAATAAACATTAATAGACTGACAAAAGCCGTGGCTAAAGGGACACATAAAATGAGAACATACAGTGCTGCCGATACATTTGTGCATGCTAACAACTTTTTAATAACTGGATGTAATTCTAACAGTACACTGCACACACTCAGGCTTCACATGAATATCTCATACATTCAAGCCAATCATACTGTCTTGGTTTTGGTGGCTTTTCTCCTGTCCTCATTTAATTCTATACACTTATCATAAAGGAATCTATTTATGTCTATGAGTATATACTAGTGAATTGAACTGGAATGACAGCAAAATTGTTGTCATGTTTAAAATAGTATGTACAGCACATGCATACTGATCATGAGATCACTATTTAATCACGTCTGCATTATGATCTTTAGCCATTCCTTTCATGACACAATGACAGAAATTATATATATATATATATATATATTCTGACCCTTGATGTGGAAATGGTTGAAGAAGTCTACAAAAGGGCTATTGGCAAGGATTCTCTAATGACAATTTAAGTACTGAAAACAAGAAAGGAAATAAAAGTAAGCATCTGAACAGCAGCAACAGTGGGTGATCCAGGCAAGAGTGAGTGGCTTGCACAATGCACACAATAACAAATCTGAAACAGAAGGCATGTGTCTATAAATTAAACAAACAACAGTACAACTGGAGATTAAAAAGAAGGAAGTGTCACGTGAGCCATCTTGATGAACTAAATACAAAAGAGAAAGTGATAACAGAGTGCAAATGCTTAGAATATCTTAAGCACAGGCCTCAATGTGCTTATGAAATTTCATTTCCATAAAGGGGATTTGCAGAGTCAGATACTCAAATGAACGGGGCCGTACATGAACAGTTTTCATGTGAGCTTGTATAACCGCAAAAGGAAGGAGAAAATTGCATGGCAATGTGTTTCCCAATAATAACATTGATCAGCTGGACACTGGACGAGGTGGTTTGCTTTTGCTTTCTGCCTCTTTCCCACGCACTGCTGCCACATAGGAGAAGAGACACAATACTGAATAGCAGATCTCATGAGCCTAGAAGACATTAAAAATAAGATAGTCAGATACTGGGTAGCTGGGTATATGTAGACGTAAAGTTCTTACTCTTAGAGCAAGTATAAAATGAAATGCAATGATGAGACCTATGTCTTGATGTGAGCAATTCATCCATCTCCACCACTGACAGGAATAAGCAAGCACACATTTTATGCTTGCATAATTAAAATCCAATGAATTGTAAATTTTGTTTACAGTTGAATCAGTTTGGAAGTACCTTCACTTGGATTTAGTACAAGTGAAGGTACTTCCAAACTGCCAACATGGGATTTTAGAATCTAATCTCAGCAATTAAATAATTGCTAAGATTAAACTCTAAAATCCCATGTTGGCAGCAGATAAAGAAAGGAATGGTGAGAAGGTGAGATATGAACTTCCTATGTACTCATAGTTTCATCTCTAATATTTTCACTGCTCAGTTCAGGGACCTTTTTTATAGGCTATATTTCTTCTCCTAACTAAATGACTTTATAATTGTTAGTTACTAAATTATCTTCTAATCTATATTCACTGCACTGGTATTACCTAGTTTGGGTAATA